GACCACCGTCGACTCTTGCGACCAGGAGGCCTTGCATAAAATGGAGATGCAGTTTGAAGAAAAGTTAAATCAAATAAGGCAGTCCTTGCAGCAAGAGTTTGATGAAAAAATTGAATCTCTCGCCCGCTCTCAGCAATGCGACTCAAGGAACACCTCAAACAATTGAACATGATGTTGTTCGAGTCAAGCACTAAAGGGAGTTGTGCTCGCTACTACCGCTGATCCTTCAGAGAATATACTCGGATCGATGCATCACACCAAAGGTGAGTTATATGTCGAAGATGACCCCCGCGTCTAGTGGCTATTGGTCGAGCTTTTGAGGGTGGCTTAACCATCCATGGTGTCCCTCTACAAGCAGATCGGACACGAGTAGTAGTTGATGAAGTTCATGATGCTAATGCTCCAAGTGCCTTTTCCTAATGAAGAGATTCAATTAGTGGGGCAGGTAAGCTGGACATTCTTGGCTTGGCCAAGACGTTTGGTTATGCCACTATCAAGCACAGTACTCAAGGTATATATATATATATATATATATATATATATATATATATATTTTCTATTTTCTCTTTTCTACTATTATAATTATATAAATGTTTAATTCATTGTTATCATTTGTTTAGGAGGCCTTGCGTCGTGGTAAGCATAAAAAACAACCTATTATTGATGAGGATCTCGATGTAATGTGATGATGATCTCATCTCTATGTTGTTGACCATATTACCACGGTTGAGGAAGAGACCGTGTCGATACAATGGGATGTTAGAGTGTTTGGAATTGACAGTTCCAGTATTCCATTATACATTTCCTTGCCCGATGCTTTAGAAATTGCTGGGGGAAATTGCATGTTAAACATTTCCATCATACAATTGTGGGCAATGTAAGTCATTCTCATTTATGTTTCTAAGATTATAATAATTATATTCAACTTATAATTAATTGTTTTAGGTACATGGACAAATTGAGTGTGGAACAAGAAAAATCCGAAGTATACGGATTTATTGAGCCTCAATCCATCCAAAAATCTGAAATACAAAGGTTGGAATCCAACAATATATGCAAACATGGATGAGTGACTCAAAAAGACATATATATTTGGCTCCATACATTGAAGGGTTAGTATTTTAATTTGTATTTTAATTTATATTTTTGTAACTAATTTTTATGTCATACAATGTAGGTCCCATTGGCAGCTAATTGTAATCATACCCCAGGATTACACTCGTGGTGTGGTTTTGTTCATTACATCGGAAACCGAGTCAAGAAATGAAAAGCTTATTACAAGGGTAAGTTTATCTTTTATTCATTAATTATGTTTTTAAATTGTAAATACATATTGAATAATATATGACTTTTTTCACTTAGAATCGTGTCTCGGAACTAATGTTCTAAGTGGAAAACCTAGAACAAAGACTTTGCAGCTCATTTATCCTAAGGTTAGAAACTTATTTATATAAGTGAATACCATAATTATTGTTTGTATTTAAATTTTGAAAATAATATTATGTTTTTTTCATCATTTCGATGTAATAAGCAAACAGACTCGTTTGAATGTGGTTACTATGTAATATATTGGATGAGAGTCATAGTTTGTGCGGGTTTAATTGATTATTGGACTGAGGTAATTACTTTTAACATTAGTTAAGTTTATTTAACTTTATTCATGTTGCATGTTTACAAGAGTCAAATTCATGTTTCGGGTATTTCAAGATTCATCTCCATTACCGGAATCCGATATTACACAAATTAGAGAACAATGGGCAAAATTTTTTGTTCAACAATTCTAGTACATAATTTTTTAAGTTCTTGTTCATATTATATTGTGTGTATTATGTAGTTTAGGTAGCTTAGTTTGTATTAACTTTTAGTTTGTAATAGATTTTTTAATTTGTATGTTTGTATTATATTGTTTTATTATGTAGTTTGAATTATATAATATTATATTTTTAATTTACTAGCTAAAGAAAACTGAACCTCTGGACTGTCTGGTTGTAATATTTATAGGTTTTAGTTGTAAAACAGAATAAATAAACCCAATTTAAAAAAAAACAGCAAATTTACGTTGCATATGGCATATGCGATGTAAATTTGCTGTTTTTTTTTTCGAAAGTTTTTACGTCTGTTTAGTGGTATATGCCACGCAAAATTACGTCGGGTCTTGATAACTGATGTAAATCTACGTCGGGCTAAAGGGTCCGACGTAAATTTACGTCTCCCGTTTTAACGTCGGACTTAAATACGACGTAAAAAGCCCTAAATACCTGACGTAAAAGCTCCTTTTTGCACTAGTGAATTGAAGACACGTCTTTGATGTAGAAAATTTTCTTATTTTTGTGCTAAAGAGTAAAGATCTTTATGGACAAGTTCATATGGGTCATCATGACAAAATATATACGTTATGTTGTTATCTCTTCCATTAGACTGTTCAAGTTGATTCGTTGATTAACATATCTCAAAAATAAGTTATTTTCTGTCAGTGAACTAATTGAATTATATATCCTTTCATATCTCTTAATAACAATTTTTAACTATTTCAATACCAATACCATGTCTTTTTTACTCATTCATGTCATTGATCAATTTGTGTGACCCCATTCTCCTTCAAACCAATTAGATGTAGCACTTTAATTTAATTGAATAATTATCTTATTTTGTACATAATTTATAATCTTTAGTCATCTTGTTAATATTTTTTATTAAAAAGATCAAATAATGATATTCTATTTTTTATACTATAACTCTCAAACATTTACATTATACAACATCTCTAATGGTTGTATCAGACATTTACATTATACAAGATCTCTTAGTATTTAATCACGTCTCATGTTATCATAATTTATGGATTTTTTTTTATTTTAGATTTGATAACTTTTAGAATATGTAGAAGATTTTCTGTTTTTCTGGTTAGGTAGGAATATTGACAACAATCCATTGGAGTTTATAAATATATTGAATTGTTAAATTTTATAACTTCATAAATTTAGTTTTATGTGTATAATTTTTCTATTTTATTTTTGGTATGAATTATTTTTTTTATTTTAATAATAATTATAAAATCATAATATATTATAAAATAAGTATTGAAATTATAAAGTGAGGGAATATTGAAAAACATAATTTAAGTATCATTGAAAAACATAATTTAAGTATCACAAAAAAGAGCAGAAATATATAGGAAAATAAAAATTTCGCTTTTAAGATTAACAATCACAGTATTGAAAAACATAATTTAAGTATATAAAAAAAGTAGAAAAACAATTTCACTACCAATAAATAAGTAAGACAAACAGAAATATATAGAAAAATAAAAGTTCAACCAGACACTTGAAACTTTATAATTGTAAAAGTATCACACAAAAGAAGTAATAAGTAAGACAAACAGAAATATATGGAAAATAAAAGTTAAACAAGACAGTCAACTGTATATTTTTTTTTTTTAACTTATTCTTCTGTATTTATTTTGAATGAGCTAAATAGATTGATTTTCTACTCTCTCTCTCTTTTTTTTTTTATGGGATACTTAACTTATGTTTTTCAATATTATGTTGATTCTTATAAGAATCTCAAATGAAGAATAAGTGATATAACAATCTTATTATGTAATCTATCATTTTATTTTATTTTTCCTTATCTCCTTTATTTCGATATTCTTCTTGTTGTACTTCTTTCATTTGGTCCAACATCTCGTGAAACTCATCCTTTTGTCAGTGTTTGTGGACTCTTTTTTATTTTTTTGTTTAATGATCATATTATTTTTCTATCATTCATTCCCTGTAGGGTGTTGTAATAATCAAATGATCTATGAAGTGTCGCAATTTTTGTCTCTTTTCAACTTATTTTTTTCTTGTATAATTGAAATTCAAATTCAAAATGGTAGAACCAACGTATTTTATTTCACTCATAATTTATATTCAAAAATTGACTCATGCAAATTGAATAATAATAATAATATTAACCAATAAGGAAATAGTAGACCATGAACAATAAATAAATGTGAATAATGATTAAAGAATGTGGGAATACTACTTGCTTCTTTTAAAAAACAGAATTTTATAAAATATAAATTTTAAAATTAACAAACTAGTTCGAAACATAAGAATTATAAAATAGTCAGAATTCAATCTAACTGAATTCTAAAAGTACATACTAGTATGCAGATCTTGGGTAAATAAATTAATAAAAATGTTGATAATAAGACTTCCATCGAACCAATCGTAATGTATTTTAAAATTAAAATAATTATGTATAAAAAATATTTTTTAAATGTATATATATAAATAGATCTAATAAAGTATGATTCATCTAATATGTGATTATAATTGTATTTGCTTATATTTTCTATACAAGATAATATAAATTCACTCAATTCACGTGTTCGCAATAAAAGGTGAAATACAATGTAGGCCAAAACAAGTAGACCATCCCACGTTACCTACCACCATGGATGACTAAGTGTTAAAACAAGTGTTTGTTTAAGTTGTGTATGTTACAGTTTGAATTTACGATTTTTTCTTTGTAGCTGTTGAGTTATATGATCTTAGTCATAAGACAAAGAAGGCTAAAGGAGTGGTTTAAGGATAAGATTATTTGGCCATAATGCCTTTTTCCCATGCATGGAAGAGGTAAATGAGAAAAAATAAAACAAATCCTCCCTTATCATGATAAAAAATAAAAATTAGAAAAAAATATCAAATTATTACAAATAAATTAATTTCAAAATTAGCTTTTTTGAAATTACAAGTTTTTCCTATTAAACCAGAACCAACGGTGTTGCAGTTTACCCAAGAAAATACTTTTTATTAAATCAACCAAACAAACACGACTATATCTGTAACTAAAATATGAAAATAAAGAACAAAACTCACATCAAAGGCTTAAAATGATTACTCTCCCAATAATCCGATGGCATCACACAAATGGACCAATGTATAAAAAAAAACAATAATAAACAGGTTTCTAAAACAAATTCTCACGAGAGCTTTCCCTAGAAAATAATTTTATCATTCGCATTTCCTCTCGTTGCCATGATCTCCACGACTGTGGATTCTGTAACAAAGGTTATGAAATGGTATTAGAACGAGCAGCAAAACCATATACAATATGCATCTTATCACGACGTACAAAACCAAATGGGAATTACTGGGGGGTAAAAGGCCATCTAAAAATACTCACAAATTTTATTGAAGGCCACAATGTCACAACTCTGGACATATTCATTGATGGGCTCAACTGTGAGATGTTCCTCAATAAGAGTGTCGACAGAAACAAGGTCATCCACGATAGTAAGCATAATTTGCAGTTTCTTGATGCCGTACCCAACGGGAACAAGTTTGGCTATACAGAAAAAATAAATAATACATGATAAGCATAAAATAAATGTATGTAATGCAAACATGATGTTAACAGAAAGTACGACTTCCCTCTAAATCAAATACTAGTGAACAACAATTATAACATTTACAACTACAGAAAATTGAACCTTATAATTCAACTATTTTAGGAAGTAGTCAAAATGAAAACAATTAATAAAGTTCCAAACATTTACAAATAACAATAACCAAAGCCAAGATATATATAAATAAAAATGTCATACATGCACCCCAAAGCAACCCTTCCATGCTAACAGATCTCACTGCTTCCTCAAGCTTCTTCATGTCGGTTTCATCATCCCATGGTTTCACATCCAACAGAACAGATGATTTCCCAGCTGAAAAATGGAATAAGCTAAGAGTCAGTGCCCACAGAAAGCGCTCTATAATCAAGATTGGGGGCAGGATAAAGTTCAAAGATAATGGGTAAATGACAATAGCGAAACTTACACTCCTTCTTTTTTCCAGATGCCTTTACTGCAGCTGCCCTTTCCTCAGCTGCCTTCTTCTCTTCCTCTGTCTCTTCACCAAACAAATCCACATCATCATCATCATCCTCCTCAGCAGCAGCCTGAAAAAAGTTACATTCAATCAAAGGTCAATAAACCATTCCAGTTAAGCCACACAAAACAATGCAAAAGAAAATATATGAAGTGAAACCAACACCACAGTTCAAAAATCTATCATTAGAAAGCTACTTGCCTTAGAGTCAGTAGCTGGAGGAGTTGCAACAGGCTCAGCAACAACAGACCCCTTAACAGTGACACCAGATCCCTCACCAGAAACACCCCTGTAGACAAAATATTGGCATAAAAATATAATCAGGCCATTCAAATTACCAAACCATTATGCTATACTAATATGAATTGCCACACTCCCACAGATTAAATCATGACATAACACACCAACATAAACTATCATACAATTACGTTTAATTATTCATTAAAATTACATCACCTATTATAGGTATAATAATTCGCGGGTAAGTAGAAGAGAACTTACGAGATTCTCAATAAAGCATCAATGTGCTTGTACCACCTGAACACATTCAGGTACTCAGCTGATGGAGCAGCTGGCAGAGCAGAATATACAGCAAGATCATCCTTTGAAGCTTGGTACCTAAAGAAGACATGTACAATACATAAGAAACCAAAATTATATTAAAAAAAACGGATATGGATAAAAGCAGTGACATACCCAGTGATGTAACTGCGTGGGAGAAGGTACTCATCAAGCTTCTTCAATCCAGTGGCAGAGCTAAGGTCGTAGAATGTGAGTGCCATGCTTGCTATATATGTTAATTCTTCTACAAAATATGCACGAAATGAATTGGAATAGTCTGATTTTCAAAAAAAAAAAAAAAAAATCAAAACGTAGTGTTTAAAATGCGAAGTGAACTAAAAAAGACATTTAACCACAAAAATTGTAATTTTCAAAGAAAAAATTTTACAATTAGAATAGGTTTGGGAAAACAAACTCCCGGTTAAAACATCTGTTGTGAACTAAAAAAAGGCATTTTACCACAAAAAATCATTCCACGAAAAGAATTTGTTAATTCAGGGAGAAAAATACTACAATTAGCATATATTTGAGAAACACGTTCCAGAAGAAAACATGGATAGAAAGAGGCTTACCGGTGTGGAAAAGGCAAACGAGAGCAGCACAACAGTGAGAATGAGACTGAGATAACGAAGATCTGTTTTTATTTACTTGAGACTGAAACCCTAATTCGAATTTACACTCAAGATATGGGCCCTAACCTGAATTTGCAATCGGACATAGGTCATGGTTAGGTACAAATTCCCAGCTGAATTGATCTTGCTATTCTCACCCCATATTTTGTTAAGTCTATTTAATATTCTTTTATAACATTAATAAACAAAATTACCAGAAACATGTTTTGAAATAAAAAAATTTAGGAGGTTTTGGTGAGAAAATGTTATATATATATTTTTTAAATAGTTTTCATTTTCAAGTTTATGAGATTTCAAAAACATGCTTAATTTGACTCCTTCTTTTCTATATTTAAATAATAAAAAGTTTAAAATGTACCTAATTTGATATTTTAAATAAAGATTTGTGATGTTTTTATAAAAAAATTAAAAGAAATTTTGATTTGTAAAGAAAATTATTGATTGAGACAAGCTATTTGTCTTTCATTCTTTCTCATAAAGCTTTGAAATATATGAAGAAGAAGATAGGTTATAAAGGTGCAAATGAAATCTTGGTCAACTGATAGTTGTTTTAATAGAATGGGCACACAACTGATAATAATGACCCAAATATTATAATAAATCATGTATCATGGAGTATTAGTTTATAAATTAAAAGAGAGTACAAAATTTTGAAAAGAACAGTTTTTTTAATACAGTTTTAAAAATTATTTGTAAAAAACTATTAAAAAAATTAATAATTTTAATTTGAACAACTATTTTAGATTAAATAAGATGATATCATCTAACTTGATTACTAGTTGAAAACTATTTTAGTCTGAAAGTCGATTATATACTGTAATTATTAAAACAAAAAATACTTTTTTCTTAATTTTACTTATTTTTTAAAACTAAAAAAATAATTTTATAAAATTAATAAAATAGTTATAAAAAAGTTTTTTAATTTATAAAATATTTAAAAAATAATTTTTTTAAAAATAGTAAATAAATATGAGTTTTTTTTCTTATAAAATGATGTTATTAAAAAAACATTAAATTTTTGTTTTGATTGGAAAATGAATTTGATAAAAAAAGGAAAAGAAAACTAAAGAAAAATAAAATTATTTAGATTAAAGAAAAATAATACAAATGAATACAATTAAAATTTATTTGTTCATCTTTATTAATTATATTTATCTTAATATTATATTTTAAATTATTTATTTATTTATTATTATTTAATAAAAATATATTTTAAAAAAATTATAAACAATTGATTATGTCTTTTAAACTAAAAGATTAAAATTAACATATATTTGTTTTTTTTCTCCGTTGACTAGAGAAAAATAAAGTTAAAGACGAAGAAAAAAATATCGAGAAAAACTTAAATCGTTCAAAAAAATCAACAATGTCCATAATATCATTACTTTTGTGATGTGGCAAATTTATTTTACAGAATATATTGTGTTTGATTGTTTGCACCTTACTAAATATTTGATAATTTTGTTTGGTTGTTAACAAATAGTGAAAACCATTTTTGAATAAACTTAGTTTTTAAAATGGTCTTAAAATCCAATATATTTTTTAACTAAATAAGTTTTTAAGTTTAGGGTTGTTCTATTTATAACAACCTTATGGTCTAGTATTAATTTATAAATATGCTATTTTCAATAATTTATCTTTGAGCATTCTTACCTCCTTAATGAATTAGGTCAAATCAAGTAAACTAAAACGAACTCAAACTCATATAAGAACCTTGACATAAGAGTACACTATTGAGAAAAAAAGTGAAAGAAGACATAAAGTAATGGAGAGAAGAAAACTATGACAAAAAAAAATTATATTTCAATTTTATTTGTACAATAAAATCTCATATACATAAATATATAGAAGAGTGTAAAAGCAAAAAATTGTTATTAGTTATAAACTGATAACCAATACCCTTCAAGTTGGATCATGAATATTCATGATATCAAGCTTGTGTATTATGTTGATAAAAGGCTTGTGCTCTAAGGTTTTGTGAAAACATATCCAACTATTGAGCTGAATCAATGGGAAGTAGATGAAATAATTTACTTTGAAACTGACCACATGACAATCTATCTCTATGTATTTTGTTCTCTCATGAAAGCTTGAATTAGAAGAAATATATCTAGTTGAATCATTATCATAGTAGAACACAACTTGTGCAGGGTTTTGAACATGAAGATCTCTGAGAAGATATGTTAATCATTGGACTTCACAAGTAGTAGCCCTATATTTAGCCTCAGTGGATGAGCGAAAAATGGTAAATTGCTTATGTTGAATATAGTGAAAAACTAGGTATAGGGTTAATTTTTCATGTGTTTAAAACACACATAAGGTAATATACTTATAATTAAGAGTTTTACAAGTAAATATGACAAATACATATATTGTGATTAATAAAATCTAAAATATCTAACACTCCCCCTCAAAATGATGCATATAAATCATATATATCAAACTGTTATAAAATAATCAATTCTAGGTTCCCGTAAAGACTTGGTGAAAATATATGCTAACTATTCACTTGAGTTAACAAACTCGGTCTTAATTTCTCCAAATACAATCTTTTCTCAAATAAAATGATAATCAACTTCAATGTCCTTAGTCCTTTCATGAAAGACAAGATTAAAGCTAATATGAAGAACAACCTGATTATCACACATAAGTATCATTTAAATGACATATCTAAATTGCAACTCTTTGAGTAATTGTTAAAGAAGTTCACAAGTGACTGAGGTAATAACTTTATATTTTACTTCTACACTAGATCTTTCCACAACATTTTATTTCTTGTTCTTCCAAGATATCAAGTTACCTCCAATAGACACAAAGTATCCAAAAGTAGATCTTCAATCAAAGAGAGATCTTGCTCAATTAACATCTGAATAATAGACAACTTTAGTCTGGTTATTGTGAGGCATGACAACGGGGCGGGCGAGGGGGCGGGGACGGGGGCGGGTTTTGCCTCCCCGATCACTGCCCTAACTTTTTAACAGTTCCCCTCCTCACCCCCGATCCCCGGGGTTAGAAATTAAATCCACATCCCCCTCCTCATTGGGTTTTGGGTTTCTCCGCCTCCAGTCCTCAATCTATATTATTTTTTAAAAAATAATTATATTAATAATAAATTAATTTTACTATTTTTATGTATTTTTTATACTTAAATAAATATTTATAATTTTACAATTTGTAATTATTAATAATTAAATATATATATTTTAATTTATTATATTTATATTAAAATATGCATGTAGAAGAAATAATTAATCATTTTTTTCTTTATAGAGATATAGAATATTTATAACATTATTATTATTATAATAATACTATATTCAAACATTTGAATATTTATAATAATAATATTATTATTATTATTATTATACTTGTATTCAAACATTTGATTACATATATAAGTTAATTCATTTTTAAGTTGTCATTTAAAAATATGAAATATATCGTTTATAAGGAAATATATAATAAGTTAATTCTTATTTAATTAGTTCAAAGTAATAAAAGTTTAAATTATCAATTCTTGTTAATCCTTTAAAATATAATTATTTTATTAAGATAAAATTTGATATATGACAAATAAAAATAATAAGATCCAAAAAATATGACATAATAAGAATAATAAGATCCAAAAAATATGACATAATAAAACCTAATAAATATAAATTATAAATAAAATAATATTAGTTACTACTAAGATTTATGTAAAATATTTAGAAAAAAGAAAAAAAATAACTTTGTGTTTATCAAATCAGTTGAAAAGATTAGAAAAAAAACTGATTGGAGAGAATAAGAAAATGTAAAAAATTGAAAGATAAAAGAAAGAGAATAATGTAATAAACTAATTGATATAAAAGATTAAAAAAGACAAAAGAGTTAAAAAGTAGGTAGAAAAAAAGTAAAAATAATGAAATATAAAAAAATAACCTTATATGTAATAGAAAAAGAAAAGGAAATACTTATAAAATATTAATATTTTAAAATTTAAATTTAAACATAAAATCGAGGCGGGACGGGCCCGCCCCTGTCCCCTACTTTTTAAAGCGGGGAAAATCCGAACTCGTCCCCGTCCCGGTCAACTCAATTTTTTCCCGTCAAACTTAGGACGGGGACAGATCAGTCCCCACGGGTACGAGTTTAATTGTCATCTGAAAGCAATGAGGGGGAGATTGATGGAAATGTCCTTACATTCCCAAGAGATGATTTTGATGATGATTCAAGTCAACTACATTCAAGTCAACACCATTCAAGATGAATTAAGGACAAACTGAATTTATGACGTTGGTGAAAATGTGAAACATTTCCTTACATGCCCAAGATATGTTTTTGATAAAGATGATGATTCAAGCAAGCCCAAGATGATTCCTGAAGACTAGATAGAGTCTTAGAATACTGGATATGGAGGTACAAGTTGATGAAGTAATATTATGCATAAGCCTCCAAAGCACAAGTGTGATAAAATTCATAACATGATATTTTTCTCTGTCATAATTAATTATGATGCATCAGAAATGGAAAAATAATTTTCTCTATCATAATTAATTATACTGGTAATATAATCAATTATAGCAATTCAAATTTGAAAAATATATCCGTTTTAAAGAATAAATGTTTTTTAATACATCCTGATTTTCTCTATGATATTATTAATGTCCAATGACCATTTTTTGATGCTATTTTTCTATTTAATTAAGTTTTGATGAAAAATAAAAAACACACAATTACGGAATTCGAAAATACAATTTACATTCAATCAGTTTTGAGAAAAGAATTATGAGCAAGACAACAGAGATATTTTACACCTTTTGAGAAAACCATCTTCTTTATTGTCTCCTGTGCTTTCATTGTTAATTACACTTGTTCTTGGAGATTGACATTCTACAGGCTTCTACAATTTGTTGTCTCCATTATCCAGGTGTGTCTGTTCTTATTTTAAATACCTTCATCCTTTGTGTATTGGTGGCAAGGAGGTGTGTTTCATCCTTTGATTTGTTCAAAGGAGGTTTTTCATCCCTAGTGTGATTCTAGGGAGGTGTTCATCCTTAGTGGGATTCTAACGAAGTGTTTTTCATCCTTTGATTTGTTCAGAGGAGGTGTTCATCCTTAGTGGGATTCTAGGGAGGTGTTCATCCTTAGTGGGTTTCTAAGGAGGTGATTGTCTTTTTAATTTGTTTACTTTTTACTGGTTCTTCTATTGAGTTGATTGTAA